CCTCTAGTCCATGTGTCTATGGTACATCTATGATTGTAACCGGCTTTAGGCAGTCGTTGGCTCCTGCTGCAGACCATGAAGACCTGCCAAAAGAACCCAACTGGTCCATTGTTCTCTGGTGTGTGTGGAACTCGCTCAGACAGAAGCCAACTCTCGCGGCTGAAGCGTTCTTGTGTTCTGCATCAAAACAACCTTCTTTATTGGATTTCCTTTCCCCAGAGAGATCAAACACTCACAGCCGGTTCACAATTTGAAGCGTTGCTAAGCCTCACACGTTCCAAAACGCTAACATCTGTGATCGCCTTCATCTGGAACTTCTCTCACCTCCGAGCAGCAGGACCTCAGCCCGCGGTGGAGTTTGCATGTTCTGCCCGTGCCTGAGAGACTTGTTTGATTTTAAAATCAAAACCATGGAACAGTTTCAGATTGACAGGAATGTGTTTTTCTCTTTTTGGAATCTCAATCATAAAATCAAAACCCAAAGGTTTGAGGCTGGTCCAAAGGTCGAGGGAAGTCCAGGACTCTGGTCTCTCTCTGGTCTCTCTGGTCTCTCTCTGGTCTTTCTCTGGTCTCTCTCTGGTCTCTCTGGTCTCTCTCTGGTCTTTCTCTGGTCTCTCTCTGGTCTCTCTCTGGTCTCTCTCTGGTCTCTCCCTGGTCTCTCTCTGGTCTCTCTCTGGTCTCTCCCTGGTCCCCTCTGGTCTCTCTCTGGTCTCTCCCTGGTCTCTCTCTGGTCTCTCTCTGGTCTCTCTCTGGTCTCTCTCTGATCTCTCCCTGGTCTCTCTCTGGTCTCTCTCTGGTCTCTCCCTGGTCTCTCTCTGGTCTCTGCCTGGTCTCTCTCTGGTCTCTCCCTGGTCTCTCTCTGGTCTCTCCCTGGTCTCTCTCTGGTCTCTCTCTGGTCTCTCCCTGGTCTCTCTCTGGTCCCCTCTGGCTCTGTCTCAGCCTTGTGCTTATTGTTACTGTCTCTAGCATCAAACAGACATTTGGCAGGTGGTTCCCGGGAACCTCTCGTTCTCTCGGTCCACATGGTCTTGATGGTTTCTGTTCCTTCCTGCTTCGTTTAAAGACACGTGCAGCGTCTCCACATCTGGACGTCCTTGAAGCAGACGCAGAGCAGTGTCTGTCATTGCCTCTCTGCTGTATCTCTCTGGTCTTTCTCCAATCTCCCTCTGGTCTCCCTCTGGTCTCTCTGTCTGGTCCCTGCCTGGTCTCATCCTGGTCTCCCACTGGTTTCTCTCTCAAGTCTCTCTCTTTGGTCTCTCTCTGGTCTCTCTTTGGTCTCTCTCTCTGGTCTCTCTTTGGTCTCTCTCTCTGGTCTCTCCCTGGTCTCTCTCTGGTCTCTCTCTCTGGTCTCTCTCTCTGGTCTCTCTCTCTCTGGTCTCTCTTTGGTCTCTCTCTCTCTCTGGTCTCTCTCTTTGGTCTTTCTCTCTCTGGTCTCTCTCTCTGGTCTCTCTCTTTGGTATCTCTCTCTCTGGTCTCTCTCTCTGGTCTCTCTTTGGTCTCTCTCTCTCTGGTCTCTCTCTTTGGTCTCTCTCTCTCTGGTCTCTCTCTTTGGTCTCTCTCTCTGGTCTCTCTCTGGTCTCTCTCTCTCTGGTCTCTCTTTGGTCTCTCTCTCTCTGGTCTCTCTCTCTCTGGTCTCTCTCTCCCTGGTCTCTCTCTGGTCTCTCTCTGGTCTCTCTCTCTGGTCTCTCTCTCTCTGGTCTCTCTCTCTCTGGTCTCTCTCTTTGGTCTCTCTCTCTGGTCTCTCTCTGGTCTCTCTCTGGTCTCTCTCTGGTCTCTCTTTGGTCTCTCTCTCTCTGGTCTCTCTCTCTCTGGTCTCTCTCTTTGGTCTCTCTCTCTCTGGTCTCTCTCTTTGGTCTCTCTCTCTGGTCTCTCTCTGGTCTCTCTCTCTGGTCTCTCTTTGGTCTCTCTCTCTCTGGTCTCTCTCTCTATGGTCTCTCTCTTTGGTCTCTCTCTCTCTGGTCTCTCTCTTTGGTCTCTCTCCGAGGGCAGACTCAGTGTTTATCGTCCAGTGGTTTCTGAAGCTAAAAACCTGCAGTTAAAGATTCTCACAGTGTGCGGGGTGAGCTGTCCCACAGAGCACATGTGATGATGCCCCCGTTACCATGGTGACCCACTGTCTGTTGCTGGTATAAGGACTGTGTTTGTGACATGTAGAGTGATGAACACGTCCTCAGGTCACACATGGAAACCCGGACATACTTTGCCACGGTCTTAAATGGGTCAGCACTAGATCATTAACGGAATCTGGACGGAAGCGGAAGTAAAAATAACAAACTACCTATTCAGGCCTAAACTTAACCATCTTACTCAGACCACCTTAACCCTAACCTTAACCATCTTACTCAGACCACCTTAACACTAACCTTAACCATCTTACTCAGACCACCTTAACCCTAACCTTAACCATCTTACTCAGACCACCTTAACCCTAACCTTAACCATCTTACTCAGACCACCTTAACCCTAACCTTAACCATCTTACTCAGACCACCTTAACCCTAACCTTAACCATCTTACTCAGACCACCTTAACACTAACCTTAACCATCTTACTCAGACCACCTTAACCCTAACCTTAACCATCTTACTCAGACCACCTTAACCCTAACCTTAACCATCTTACTCAGACCACCTTAACCCTAACCTTAACCATCTTACTCAGACCACCTTAACCCTAACCTTAACCATCTTACTCAGACCACCTTAACCCTAACCTTAACCATCTTACTCAGACCACCTTAACCCTAACCTTAACCATCTTACTCAGACCCACCTTAACCCTAACCTTAACCATCTTACTCAGACCACCTTAACCCTAACCTTAACCATCTTACTCAGACCACCTTAACCCTAACCTTAACCATCTTACTCAGATGCCTAAAACTTAACCATTCACCATTTAAGGACTCATTAGTCTAAAACTAATTTGAAAGTAGGATTGTTACTTCTGGTTTCGTCCCGATTCCGTTTATGATCTAGTGCCGACCGTCTTAAATGCACCTGTCTGTGTGTCATGTGACCTGTCTGAGGATCATGTGACCTGTCTGAGGATCATGTGACCTGTCTGTTTGTCATGTGACCGGTCTGTGGGTCATGTTACCTGTCTGAGGGTCAGGTGACCGGTCTGTGTGTCATGTGACCTGTCTGTGGGTCATGTGAACTGTCTGAGGATCATGTGACCTGTCTGAAGGTCATGTGACCTGTCTGTGGATCATGTGACCTGTCTGAGGGTCATGTGACCGGTCTGTGGGTCATGTGAACTGTCTGAGGATCATGTGACCTGTCTGAAGGTCATGTGACCTGTCTGTGGATCATGTGACCTGTCTGAGGGTCATGTGACCGGTCTGTGGGTCATGTGACCTGTCTGTGGGTCATGTGAACTGTCTGAGGATCATGTGACCTGTCTGTGGGTCATGTGACCTGTCTGAGGATCATGTGACCTGTCTGTGGGTCATGTGAACTGTCTGAGGATCATGTGACCTGTCTGTGGGTCATGTGAACTGTCTGAGGATCATGTGACCTGTCTGAAGGTCATGTGACCTGTCTGTGGGTCATGTGACCTGTCTGAGGATCATGTGACCGGTCTGTGGGTCATGTGACCTGTCTGTGGGTCATGTGAACTGTCTGAGGATCATGTGACCTGTCTGAAGGTCATGTGACCTGTCTGTGGGTCATGTGACCTGTCTGAGGGTCATGTGACCGGTCTGTGGGTCATGTGACCTGTCTGTGGGTCAGGTGACCGGTCTGTATGTCATGTGACCTGTCTGTGGGTCATGTGACCTGTCTGAGGATCATGTGACCTGTCTGTGGATCATGTGACCTGTCTGAGGATCATGTGACCTGTCTGAGGGTCATGTGACCTGTCTGTGGGTCATGTGACCTGTCTGAGGATTATGTGACCTGTCTGAGGATCATGTGACCTGTCTGTGGGTCATGTGACCTGTCTGAGGGTCATGTGACAGGTCTGTGGGTCATGTGACCGGTCTGTGGGTCATGTGACCTGTCTGAGGATCATGTGACCTGTCTGTGGGTCATGTGACCTGTCTGTGGGTCATGTGACCTGTCTGTGGGTCATGTGACCTGTCTGAGGGTCATGTGACCGGTCTGTGTGTCATGTGACCTGTCTGTGGGTCATGTGACCTGTCTGTGGGTCATGTGACCGGTCTGTGGGTCATGTGACCTGTCTGTGGGTCATGTGACCTGTCTGTGGGTCATGTGACCGGTCTGTGGGTCATGTGACCTGTCTGTGGGTCATGTGACCGGTCTGTGGGTCATGTGACCTGTCTGTGGGTCATGTGACCGGTCTGTGGGTCATGTGACCTGTCTGAGGGTCATGTGACCGGTCTGTGTGTCATGTGACCTGTCTGTGGGTCATGTGACCACAGCTCATTTGCATGAACACTTGGAGTCTTCTTCATGTGTGTCGCGTGACACTGTGTGTCATGGACATGTGTCTGTGCAGCTGTGACGTAACACCATGTGTCTGACAGAACAATACCATGTGTTGTAGTGATGGTGTAATGATAGTGTGTCATGATTGACATTGTGAATGTCATGTGGGAGGGGCCAGCAGGGCACATAAGGTGCTCGTCTGCCCCATGGCAGCCGTGGCTCGGTGACAGAGGTCAGGTGGAGCGCAGGAGCGAGAGTGAAGAAGAGAGACTTATTGAAGAAGTCGTGCATATTTTTGTTTGTAAATGTCCTTTTTTCCTGCAGACTTTTCACTGTGCTCCGTAAATACGTTTATGTAGGTTTCCCACTGTTTTTCTACTGAGAGATCTGGATAAAAACACTCTTTAAACGCCCTTTCCGACTGAGCCACGTGTGAAAAAGAAGCGTCACATGGTGTCAGCAAACACCGAGGGCTCCGAGCTACGCTGAGGTGAGGAGACGTCTGATGAGGATCAAAGCTGCAGGGCCACAGCCGGTGTCTGAGCAGGGGTCCAGGAGAGACGGCCCGGCGGGACGGCCCGGCGGGTCAGCGGGGGACAGAGGAGTGCAATGCCAGGGCTCCTAGCACTGGGAGCATCTAAACCGAGAGGCCGGCTGCCTTTATGCAAACAGGGCGTCTTCAGTTTGTGGACGCAGCGACTTCACCAGAAACTGGGAGGAGCTGGACCCGGTGAGAATGAAGCAGAGACTGTGGCCTTAGGGCACTACATTCACCGGGCCGGTGCTGAGGAGCTGAGGAGAACCAGGGCCCATCTCCAGCAGCGGGTTTGGTCCATGGGGGAGCAGGCTGTGCGGCTTCCCCACAGTGTCAACCTTCAGAGGGGAGGGAGAATGTGACGGGAGGAGCCGTCAGTGCCCTGGTGGCTGCGCCAGGGCATATTCACACCTGTACCTGGATGTACAGGTGTGAATATGTACAGGTGTGAATATGTACAGGTGTGAATATGTACAGGTGTGAATATGTACAGGTGTGAATATGTACAGGTGTGAATATGTACAGGTGTAAATATGTACAGGTGTGAATATGTACAGGTGTGAATATGTACAGGTGTGAATATGTACAGGTGTGAATATGTACAGGTGTAAATATGTACAGGTGTGAATATGTACAGGTGTGAATATGTACAGGTGTGAATATGTACAGGTGTGAATATGTACAGGTGTAAATATGTACAGGTGTGAATATGTACAGGTGTGAATATGTACAGGTGTGAATATGTACAGGTGTGAATATGTACAGGTGTAAATATGTACAGGTGTGAATATGTACAGGTGTGAATATGTACAGGTGTGAATATGTACAGGTGTGAATATGTACAGGTGTAAATATGTACAGGTGTGAATATGTACAGGTGTGAATATGTACAGGTGTGAATATGTACAGGTGTGAATATGTACAGGTGTAAATATGTACAGGTGTAAATATATACAGGTGTGAATATGTACAGGTGTAAATATATACAGGTGTGAATATATACAGATGTGAATATGTACAGGTGTGAATATGTACAGGTGTAAATATATACAGGTGTGAATATGTACAGGTGTAAATATATACAGGTGTGAATATGTACAGGTGTAAATATATACAGGTGTGAATATGTACAGGTGTAAATATATACAGGTGTGAATATATACAGATGTGAATATATACAGGTGTGAATATGTACAGGTGTAAATATATACAGGTGTGAATATGTACAGGTGTAAATATATACAGGTGTGAATATGTACAGGTGTGAATATGTACAGGTGTGAATATGTACAGGTGTAAATATGTACAGGTGTGAATATGTAAATCTCAGTCTCTCTCGCTCTCTCTCAGTCTCTCTCAGACTCTCTCGCTCTCTCTCAGTCTCTCTCAGACTCTCTCTCAGACTCTCTCGCTCTCTCTCAGTCTCTCTCAGACTCTCTCTCAGACTCTCTCGCTCTCTCTCAGTCTCTCTCGCTCTCAGACTCTCTCGCTCTCTCTCTGTCTCTCAGACTCTCTCAGTCTCTCTCACTCTCTCTGTCTCTCAGACTCTCTCGCTCTCTCTCTGTCTCTCAGACTCTCTCAGTCTCTCTCACTCTCTCTGTCTCTCTCGCTCTCTCTGTCTCTCTCGCTCTCTCTGTCTCTCTCGCTCTCTCTCAGTCTCTCTCAGACTCTCTCGCTCTCTCTCAGTCTCTCTCAGACTCTCTCTCAGACTCTCTCGCTCTCTCTCTGTCTCTCAGACTCTCTCAGTCTCTCTCACTCTCTCTGTCTCTCAGACTCTCTCGCTCTCTCTCAGTCTCTGTCTCTCTCAGACTGTCTCACTCTCTCAGACTCTCTCTCGCTCTCTCAGTCTCTCTCGCTCTCTCTGTCTCTCTCGCTCTCTCTGTCTCTCTCGCTCTCTCTCAGTCTCTCTCAGACTCTCTCGCTCTCTCTCAGTCTCTCTCTGTCTCTCAGACTCTCTCAGTCTCTCTCACTCTCTCTGTCTCTCAGACTCTCTCGCTCTCTCTCAGTCTCTGTCTCTCTCAGACTGTCTCACTCTCTCAGACTCTCTCTCGCTCTCTCAGTCTCTCTCGCTCTCTCTGTCTCTCTCGCTCTCTCTGTCTCTCCCGCTCTCTCTCAGTCTCTCTCTCTCGCTCTCTCTCAGTCTCTCGTCTCTCTCGCTCTCTCTCAGTCTCTCTCGCTCTCTCTGTCTCTCTCGTCTCTCTCGCTCTCTCTCAGTCCCTCGTCTCTCGCTCTCTCTCAGTCTCTCTCGCTCTCTCTGTCTCTCTCTCGCTCTCTCTCAGTCCCTCGTCTCTCTCGCTCTCTCTCAGTCTCTTTCAGACTCTCTCGCTCTCTCTGTCTCTCACTCTCTCAGTCTCTCTGTCTCTCTCAGACTCTCTCGCTCTCTCTCTGACTCTCTTGCTCTCTCTAACTCTCTCAGACTCTCTCAGTCTCTCTCTGTCTCTCAGACTCTCTCGCTCTCTCTCAGTCTCTGTCTCTCTCAGTCTCTCTGTCTCTCAGACTCTCTGACTCTCTCTCGCTCTCTCTGTCTCTCTCAGTCTCTCTCACTCTCTCAGACTCTCTCTCTCGTCTCTCTCGCTCTCTCAGTCTCTCTCGTCTCTCTCAGTCTCTCTCGTCTCTCTCGCTCTCTCTCAGTCTCTCTCGCTCTCTCTCAGTCTCTCGCTCTCTCTCAGTCTGTCGTCTCTCTCGCTCTCTCTCAGTCTCTCTCGCTCTCTCTCAGTCCCTCTCAGACTCTCTCAGTCTCTTTCAGACTCTCTCGCTCTCTCTCAGTCTCTCTCACTCTCTCAGCCTCTCTCTGTCTCTCTCAGACTCTCTCAGTCTCTCTCTGACTCTCTCGCTCTCTCTCAGTCTCTCTCAGTCTCTCTCTCAGACTCTCTCTCTCACTCTTAGTCTCTCTCAGACTCTCTCGCTCTCTCTCAGTCTCTCTCACTCTCTCAGTCTCTCTCAGACTCTCTCGCTCTCTCTGTCTCTCTCAGTCTCTCTCAGTCTCTCAGACTCTCTCGCTCTCTCTGTCTCTCTCAGTCTCTCTCAGTCTCTCTCTCAGACTCTCTCTCTCTCTCTCACTCTTAGTTTCTCTCTGTCTCTCTCAGACTCTCTGTCTCTCTCAGTCTCTCTCAGACTCTCTCGCTCTCTCTCAGTCTCTCTCAGTCTCTCTCAGACTCTCTCGCTCTCTCTGTCTCTCTCAGTCTCTCTCAGTCTCTCTCAGACTCTCTCGCTCTCTCTGTCTCTCTCAGACTCTCTCGCTCTCTCTGTCTCTCTCAGTCTCTCTCTGACTCTCTCGCTCTCTCTCAGTCTCTCTCTCAGACTCTCTCTCTCTCTCACTCTTAGTCTCTCTCTGTCTCTTTCAGACTCTCGCTCTCTCTCAGTCTCTCTCAGTCTCTCTCAGACTCTCTCGCTCTCTCTGTCTCTCTCAGTCTCTCTCGTCTCTCTCGCTCTCTCTCAGTCTCTGTCTCTCTCGTCTCTCTCAGTCTGTCTTGCTCTCTCTCAGTCTCTCTCAGACTCTCGCTCTCTCTCAGTCTCTGTCTCTCTCGTCTCTCTCAGGCTCTCTCGCTCTCTCAGTCTCTCTCAGAAGTCAGAGTTAGTTACAGTTACATACATTTTTTAAAATAATAAATCAAGATGTTTTTTATTTTCAGAGAGAAGTCCATAATACGTCTCCTTTAAGTCTCTGTAGCCTCCCGATGACCGCAGCCTGACCGCGCTCTCACCTCCGCTGGCCGGCCTCACGCCTCCCCCTCTCCCCCCTCCTCCCCCTGCACCTGCAGCAGTGTCGGGCAGAGCTCCTCCTCGTTTACAAGCACATGGACGCCATCGCCGCGGCCAAATGAAGAAAGTGATTGGTCGTAAACGCTCAGAGGAATGCAGTCCATACAAACGCCGTAAACTTGAAAAAATGTGTTTTTGAAGTTAACGAGGGTCGTCAAAAACACAGAAACAAGATGGCTTCACACGCACCAGGAGAGAACACTCACCTGCCAGAGATCAAAGACACGGTTAAAGCTCAGGGACCTGACTTTGTGTTTGATGAAAAGTACGATAAGAAGAATAGAAAACATTAGAAAATAACATCCTGTCTTTACCAGAAAAGAAAGAGTCACTGTTGGATTCTTTAGAATGAGAGCGCTCTCTGGTCTCTCTCTGGTCTCTCTCTGGTCTCTCTCTAGTCTCTCTCTCTGGTCTCTCTCTGGTCTCTCTCTGTTCTTTCTCTGGTCTCTCACTGGTCTCTCTCTGGTCTCTCTCTGGTCTCTCCCTGGTCTCTCTCTGGTCTCTCACTGGTCGCTCTCTGGTCTGTCTCTGGTCTCTCTCTGGTCTCTCCCTGGTCTCTCACTGGTCGCTCTCTGGTCTGTCTCTGGTCTTTCTCTGGTCTCTCCCTGGTCTCTCACTGGTCACTCTCTGGTCTGTCTCTGGTCTCTCTCTGGTCTCTCCCTGCTCTCTCCCTGGTCTTTTTCTGGTCTCTCCCTGGTCTCTCACTGGTCGCTCTCTGGTCTGTCTCTGGTCTCAGGAGAATATCTCAGAGTTAAAATAGACTTTTTTCCAAACTCCAAATATTTAGTTTTAGTTATTTCTGGTGGACGACAGTAAATCTGTGTTTTCTTTCACTGCAGAGAATAAAGAGAGTGTTCTGTGGTTGGACAGGACCATGTGGGATCAGGACCATGTGGGATCAGGACCAACACACTTTGATCTAAAACCTCTTATGGTTTTAAACTAACCTGGATTTATGCGACGTGTCCCGAGGAGAAGTCTCGCTGCTGCTCTCAGACCCACTGATGGTACCTACTATAAGAAAAACACCATCATACAGGCCCCGGAGACCAGAGAGGGACCAGAGAGGGACCAGAGAGAGACCAGAGAGGGACCAGAGAGAGACCAGAGAGGGACCAGAGAGGGAGCAGAGAGGGACCAGAGAGAGACCAGAGAGAGACCAGTGAGAGACCAGAGAGGGACCAGAGAGAGACCAGAGAGAGACCAGAGAGAGACCAGAGAGGGACCAGAGAGAGACCAGAGAGAGACCAGAGAGAGACCAGAGAGGGACCAGAGAGAGACCAGAGAGGGACCAGAGAGAGACCAGAGAGAGACCAGAGAGGGACCAGAGAGAGACCAGAGAGGGACCAGAGAGAGACCAGAGAGGGACCAGAGAGAGACCAGAGAGGGACCAGAGAGAGACCAGAGAGAGACCAGGTCCTGAGTCCATCTGTAGTCTGATAGCAGATCTTTGTAAACACTGCAGTTTGTCAACGGAGAACATGCAGAAATAAAACATGTGTTTTGTTTTTGAGTGTGTTCCTCATCAACACTATCTATGGTCCACATGGTCCTTTAGGTGTTTCACATGGTCCTCTCTCTGAATGCTTCTGTGGGGGCCATGAGCATGTACGCTGACGTGCTGCAGTACCACCCCAGGCCTGTACCCAGAAAGACATTTTTGTTTGTTTTTGTATTTATTTGTTTATAGTTTATTTGGTTGGGACAGTACATGTTCATATCCACGGGATCACAAACACACGCTCATTCACCCTCAACTATTGCACATGTTTTTAGTGGGAGGGGAAACCGGAGCACCCGGAGGAAACATACGCAGACACAGGGAGAAAATACAAAGTCCAATCTGAAACTCAGCCACCATGTCTTCTGTCCTCTGGAAAACGGCTCTACAGGAGGGTCCAAAAGTTGGGAATATTTTTTTGGACCAGTCTAGTTTAACCACTGTGGGCTTTAGAATGCACTCTCCTTTTCCTGAGGTAGGGGCTTCCCGCGGCCATTTTGAAGAAGCCACAGAAGCCAAAAGTGATGTCACATTCGCTTCAAAAGTGGAGATAGTCGTGACTGTGTGTGTTCATATTTACAGAGGATATTAGACATCATCAATAATCACCTTCTCCTGAGTTTGGCCAAAGATGAAGGGTTTCCACTCAAACACCATGTGTGCTCCAGAGACCAGAGAGAACCAGAGAGACCGGAGAGAGACCAGAGAGAGATCCTCTCTAATCTCTCTCTGGTCTCTCTGGTCTCTCTCTGGTCTCTCTCTCTGGTCTCTCTCTCTGGTCTCTCTCTGGTCTCTCTCTGGTCTCTCTCTGGTCTCTCTCTGGTCTCTCTCTGGTCTCTCTCTGGTCTCTCTCTGGTCTCTCTCTGGTCTCTCTGGTCTCTCTCTGGTCTCTCTCTTCTGTTTCTTTAGAAAACCTGTCGGTGATGATCGCACACTTCCTGTTCGTCATCAACACTAACAAGAAACCATGACTTTCGGACTTTCCCGTGAACAATGACAAATATGGAAGGACGCCATGTTTACGCGGATCGGCCTCACGTTAGCCTCACATGTTAGCTCCACACGCTAACTTCACACGGTTTGGTCGAAGAGAAACGTGCAGTATAGAGCCACATGTGTCCGCCAGGTGCTGTCCGGAGCTAACATGCTAACACGCTAACACACAGAGGGATGACTATAGGACCTCCTCATCTTCATCTTCATCATGGACCTGGAAGTAGGTGATGTGGTGTCAGCTTTACCCTTGGATCGACCCGGAGCTGGAGCGGTCTCTCTCTGTGGGGGAGACTGTGGGGGAGACTGTGGGAGAGACTGGGAACGCTCTGGAAGCCCATCTGTTCGACACATGCAACACTTTCTGTTTCTGTGTGAGCCTCGCAGCGCTGCAGAGGTGTGTGTGTGTGTGTGTGTGTGTATGTGCGTGTGTGTGTCTCAGGGTCACGGCCTCTCCACGGACCTGAACTATCAACAAACAAGTACAAACGAACAGGAAGAAAACACGGAGAAACTTAAAGGGGACATGTCCTCAGCTTCTGTTCATTACTGTTCATGTAACGTTCATGATAATAAGTCTTCACGTCATGTTTCATTCACTCCTGCAACAACCGTAGCCACAGCTGCCCTGGGGCACACTGACAGGAGCGAGACGACTGGCACCTCCCATCACCAACCATTCACACACACACCAGACTCATTCTAATGTGGAGGAAGTGTCTTGCCTAAGGACACAACCACAGTTTGGCACTTTACAGCCGCAGCCGCCCCACTGTGGCACCTGTTCCCAGAGGTCTCCCATCACAGCACCAACCAGGCCCTGTCCTGCTTAGCGTCTGAGGTCTCCCATGACAGTAGACTCACTGTCACTAATTTTTATCATTTTCCAAAAAAGAGCTGCGAGAGAGACCAGAGAGAGACCAGAGAGAGACCAGAGAGAGACCAGAGAGAGACCAGAGAGAGAGACCAGAGAGAGACCAGAGAGAGGGACCAGAGAGAGAGACCAGAGAGAGACCAGAGAGAGGGACCAGAGAGAGAGACCAGAGAGAGACCAGAGAGAGGGACCAGAGAGAGACTAGAGAGAGGGACCAGAGAGAGACCAGAGAGGGACTAGAGAGAGAGACCAGAGAGAGAGACCAGAAACCAGAGAGACAGACCAGAAACCAGAGAGAGAACGACAACAACCATCAGTGAGCTCATCAGTATTTCTGGTCCTCCCTCACCAGGACTGGAGCCTCTGAAGCGCACATGCCGCTCTGATTCCTCATCGCTGAATCGAGTCCATTCCTCAAAGATGAAACACGTGTTTATTCCTGAGGTCCAGGGCTTTCGACTTACGAGAAAAACATTGCGCTAATTATCTGCCTGGTTAGTGCATTCCAGCGGACCAGTAAACGCTACAGGACAAGGAGAGAAATCTGTCTAAAGTGGGTCCAGGCTCCGGGTCTAGGCTCCGGGCCCCGCTCAGACCTGGCACCCTCTGTGACTGAAGCTGCAGAGGGTTAGAGTTAGAGTAACTATTGCATCTATGGTGCCTATGGTATCTCTGGTAACTTTGGTAACTATGGTATAAATCAGTACAGCAGAGTAGAGTAGAGCACAATAGAGTAGAGTAGAGTAGGGTAGGGCAGGGCAGAGTAGAGCAGAGTAGAGTACAGTAGAGTAGAGTAGAGTACAGTAGAGTAGAGTACAGTAGAGTAGAGTAGAGTACAGTAGAGTAGAGTACAGTAGAGTAGAGTACAGTAGAGTAGAGTAGAGTAGAGTACAGTACAGTACAGTAGAGTAGAGTAGAGCACAGTAGAGTAGAGTAGAGTAGAGTACAGTAGGGTAGGGTAGGGCAGGGCAGAGTAGAGCAGAGTAGAGTACAGTAGAGTAGAGTAGAGTACAGTAGAGTAGAGTACAGTAGAGTAGAGTAGAGTACAGTAGAGTAGAGTACAGTAGAGTAGAGTACAGTAGAGTAGAGTAGAGTAGAGTACAGTACAGTAGAGTAGAGTAGAGCACAATAGAGTAGAGTAGAGTAGAGTACAGTAGGGTAGGGTAGGGCAGGGCAGAGTAGAGCAGAGTAGAGTACAGTAGAGTAGAGTAGAGTACAGTAGAGTAGAGTACAGTAGAGTAGAGTAGAGTACAGTAGAGTAGAGTACAGTAGAGTAGAGTACAGTAGAGTAGAGTAGAGTAGAGTACAGTACAGTAGAGTAGAGTAGAGCAGAGTCCTCCCTGAGACCGGTCCAAACCAGATCCAGACTGTAGTGTTTGTGACATTTGAGAAACAGCACGTCTCTCTCTCTCCTGCGGTGGGACTGGGCGAGCGAGACTGTTTGGGTCTTGGTGGTTGGACTCGGGTGGACCAGGACCAGGACTCGGTCTGGACCAGGACCGTGTTGTGAAATGAGGATCCCTCTGGTTCTGGAGCGCCTCGACTCTGGCCTTTCATGTTTGTGTCAATCCACTTTAAAGTTGAACCACAGAGCGTCTCCACAGAGAGCTCGGACTGCAGCCGCTGACCCTGAGCCAGACACACATGTGTTCACTACTGCTGCACTTAAAGAACACCTACCATGCTTAAAGAACACCTACCATGCTTAAAGAACAACTACCATGCTTAAAGAACACCTACCATGCTTAAAGAACACCTGCCATGCTTAAAGAACACCTACCATGCTTAAAGAACACCTACCATGCTTAAAGAACAACTACCATGCTTAAAGAACACCTACCATGCTTAAAGAACACCTACCATGCTTAAAGAACACCTACCATGCTTAAAGAACACCTGCCATGCTTAAAGAACACCTACCATGCTTAAAGAACACCTACCATGCTTAAAGAACAACTACCATGCTTAAAGAACACCTACCATGCTTAAAGAACACCTGCCATGCTTAAAGAACACCTACCATGCTTAAAGAACACCTACTATGCTTAAAGAACACCTACCATGCTTAAAGAACACCTACCATGCTTAAAGAACACCTACCATGCTTAAAGAACACCTGCCATGCTTAAAGAACACCTACCATGCTTAAAGAACACCTACTATGCTTAAAGAACACCTACCATGCTTAAAGAACACCTACCATGCTTAAAGAACACCTGCCATGCTTAAAGAACACCTACCATGCTTAAAGAACACCTACCATGCTTAAAGAACACCTACCATGCTTAAAGAACACCTACCATGCTTAAAGAACACCAACCATGCTTAAAGAATACCTACCATGCTCTTATGGTAGTAAAGCTGTGGGACCTAACTTTCTTTTGTTGCGTATATTCCCTCAGTTCTTCCCCTCATTTCTGGTCAGGGCCTCAGATAAAGACCACAAGGACCAGAGTTTCCCTGGTCTCTCTCTACCCTACTCTACTCTACTCTTATCTGCTCTGCTCTACTCTGCTCTGCACTGCTCTGCTCTGCTCTGCTCTACTCTACTCTACTCTGCTCTACTCTACCCTTCTCTACTATACTCTACTCTGCTCTGCTCTGCTCTACTCTTATCTGCTCTGCTCTACTCTGCTCTGAACTGCTCTGCTCTGCTCTGCTCTACTCTACTCTACTCTACTCTACTCTACTCTACTGTACTCTACTCTACTCTACTCTACTGTTCTCTACTCTACTCTACTCTACTCTACTCTGCTCTGCTCTGCTCTGCTCTACTCTACTCTACTCTACTCTACCCTTCTCTACTCTACTCTACTCTGCTCTGCTCTGCTCTACTCTACTCTACTCTACTCTACCCTTCTCTACTCTACTCTACTCTGCTCTGCTCTACTCTACTCTACTCTACTCTACTCTGCTCTGCTCTACTCTGCTCTACCCTTCTCTACTCTACTCTACTCTGCTCTGCTCTACTCTACTCTACTCTGCTCTGCTCTACTCTACTCTACCCTTCTCTACTCTACTCTACTCTACTCTGCTCTACTCTACCCTTCTCTACTCTACTCTACTCTACTCTGCTCTGCTCTGCTCTACTCTACTCTACCCTTCTCCACTCTACTCTACTCTGCTCTACTCTACTCTACTCTACTCTGCTCTGCTCTGCTTTACTCTGCTCTACTCTACCCTTCTCTACTCTACTCTACTCTACTCTGCTCTGCTCTGCTCTGCTCTACTCTACTCTACCCTTCTCTACTCTACTCTACTCTACTCTACTTTGCTCTGCTCTACTCTACCCTTCTCTACTCTACTCTACTCTACTCTGCTCTGCTCTACTCTACCCTTCTCTACTCTACTCTACTCTACTCTGCTCTACTCTACTCTACCCTTCTCTACTCTACTCTGCTCTACTCTACTCTACTCTACTCTGCTCTACTCTACTCTACCCTTCTCTACTCTACTCTACTCTGCTTTACTCTACTCTACTCTACTCTGCTCTACTCTACTCTACTCTGCTCTACTCTACTCTACTCTACTCTACACTACTCTACCCTTCTCTACTCTACTCTGGCTCTGCTCTGCTCTACTCTACTCTACCCTTCTCTACTCTACTCTACTCTACTCTGCTCTGCTCTACTCTACCCTTCTCTACTCTACTCTACTCTACTCTACACTACTCTACCCTTCTCTACTCTACTCTTGCTCTGCTCTGCTCTACTCTACTCTACCCTTCTCTACTCTACTCTACTCTACTCTGCTCTGCTCTACTCTACTCTACTCTACTCTACTCTGCTCTACTCTACTCTACTCTACCCTTCTCTGCTCTACTCTACTCTACTCTACTCTACACTACTCTACCCTTCTCTACTCTACTCTTGCTCTGCTCTGCTCTACTCTACTCTACCCTTCTCTACTCTACTCTTGCTCTGCTCTGCTCTACTCTACTCTACCCTTCTCTACTCTACTCTACTCTACTCTGCTCTGCTCTGCTCTGCTCTGCTCTACTCTACTCTACCCTTCTCTACTCTACTTTACTCTACTCTGCTCTACTCTTAACTACTCTACTCTACTCTACTCTGCTCTGCTCTGCTCTACTCTGCTCTACTCTACTAGCAGCAGCAGCAGAGGCATGGCAGGGGTCAGAGGTCACAGGTCACAGACTCGTAAAGGAGCGAACAAAAGAACACACAAGGCTTTGGACGAGAGAAACCCCGGCTCCAGTGAACCACACAGTCTGAGTTATAGTTATTGTGGAAACTGTTTCATGAGAGACAAAGTGTAACTGTGAGAGGGTCACGGCGAGGAGGCCCTCGCTCCTATGGTCCTATTTCTCCAGTACCTATGGTCCTTTACCTCCAGTACCTATGGTCCTATACCTCCAGTACCTATGGTCCTATACCTCCAGTACCTATGGTCCTATACCTCCAGTACCTATGGTCCTATACCTCCAGTACCTATGGTCTTATACCTCCAGTACCTATGGTCCTATTCCTCCAGTACCTATGGTCCTTTACCTCCAGTACCTATGGTCCTATACCTCCAGTACCTATGGTCTTATACCTCCAGTACCTATGGTCCTATACCTCCAGTACCTATGGTCCTATACCTCCAGTACCTATGGTCCTATTCCTCCAGTACCTATGGTCCTTTACCTCCAGTACCTATGGTCCTATACCTCCAGTACCTATGGTCCTATACCTCCAGTACCTATGGTCCTTTACCTCCAGTACCTATGGTCCTATACCTCCAGTACCTATGGTCCTATACCTCCAGTACCTATGGTCTTATACCTCCAGTACCTATGGTCCTTTACCTCCAGTACCTATGGTCCTTTACCTCCAGTACCTATGGTCCTATACCTCCAGTACCTATGGTCCTATACCTCCAGTACCTATGGTCCTATTCCTCCAGTACCTATGGTCCTATACCTCCAGTACCTATGGTCCTGTACCTCCAGTACCTATGGTCCTGTACCTCCAGTACCTATGGTCCTGTACCTCCAGTACCTATGGTCTTATACCTCCAGTACCTATGGTCCTATTCCTCCAGTACCTATGGTCCTATACCTCCAGTACCTATGGTCCTGTACCTCCAGTACCTATGGTCCTGTACCTCCAGTAACTATGGTCTTATACCTCCAGTACCTATGGTCATATACCTCCAGTACCTATGGTCCTATACCTCCAGTACCTATGGTCTTATACCTCCAGTACCTATGGTCCTGTACCTCCAGTACCCATGGTCCTATTCCTCCAGTACCTATGGTCTTATACCTCCAGTACCTATGGTCCTATACCTCCAGTACCTATGGTCCTATACCTCCAGTACCTATGGTCCTATACCTCCAGTACCTATGGTCCTATACCTCCAGTACCTATGGTCTTATACCTCCAGTACCTATGGTCCTATACCTCCAGTACCTATGGTCCTATACCTCCAGTGCCTATGGTCTTATACCTCCAGTACCTATGGTCCTATACCTCCAGTACCTATGGTCCTATACCTCCAGTACCTATGGTCCTATTCCTCCAGTACCTATGGTCCTGTACCTCCAGTACCTATGGTCCTATACCTCCAGTACCTATGGTCTTATACCTCCAGTACCTATGGTCCTATACCTCCAGTACCTATGGTCCTATACCTCCAGTACCTATGGTCTTATACCTCCAGTACCTATGGTCCTGTACCTCCAGCACCTATGGTCTTATACCTCAGTACCTATGGTCCTATACCTCCAGTACCTATGGTCTTATACCTCTATACCTATGGTCCTTACCTCCAGTACCTATGGTCTTATACCTCTAGTACCTATGGTCTTACCTCCAGTACCTATGGTCCTATACCTCCAGTACCTATGGTCCTATACCTCCAGTACCTATGGTCCTATACCTCAGTACCTATGGTCTTACCTCCAGTACCTATGGTCCAGTACTACCTCCAACCTATGGTCCTATACCTACTTGGTCCTATACCTCCAGTACCTATGGTCCTATACCCTCCAGTACCTATGGTCCTACTACCTCCAGACTACCTATGGTCCTATACCTCCAGTACCTATGGTCCTATACCTCCAGTACCTATGGTCCTATACCTCCAGCACCTATGGTCCTATACCTCCAGCACCTATGGTCCTATACCTCCAGTACCTATGGTCCTGTACCTCCAGTACCTATGGTCCTATACCTCCAGTACCTATGGTCTTATACCTCCAGTACCTATGGTCCTATACCTCCAGTACCTATGGTCCTATACCTCCAGTACCTATGGTCCTATACCTCCAGTACCTATGGTCCTATACCTCCAGTACCTATGGTCCTATACCTCCAGCACCTATGGTCCTTTACCTCCAGTACCTATGGTCTTATACCTCCAGTACCTATGGTCTTATACCTCCAGTACCTATGGTCCTATACCTCCAGTACCTATGGTCTTATACCTCCAGTACCTATGGTCCTATACCTCCAGTACCTATGGTCCTATTCCTCCAGTACCTATGGTCCTATACCTCCAGTACCTATGGTCCTATACCTCCAGTACCTATGGTCCTATACCTCCAGTACCTATGGTCCTGTACCTCCAGTACCTATGGTCCTATACCTCCAGTACCTATGGTCCTATACCTCCAGTACCTATGGTCCTATACCTCCAGTACCTATGGTCTTATACCTCTAGTACCTATGGTCCTTTACCTCCAGTACCTATGGTCTTATACCTCTAGTACCTATGGTCCTTTACCTCCAGTACCTATGGTCTTATACCTCCAGTACCTATGGTCCTATTCCTCCAGTACCTATGGTCCTATACCTCCAGTACCTATGCTACAGTAGACCAGAGTATGTGGTAGAAGCCTGTGTAGAAACAGAAGCCGTTTGTGCGCGGCGCCCGCGGGGGTGACTCCTGACCCGCTCTGCTGTGTGTTTGCAGGAATGCGGTGAGCTGGCTGCGGTTTTCCGGTCTCCCCCTCTCCCCCCTCCCTCCCTCCCTCACCCCCCTCACCCCCCTCACCCATTGCAGGAGGCTGTGTGACCCAGACATGTGCTGCCGTTAACGGGAGCTCGGGGCGCTTCATTAGTGGAGCCGCATTTACTGTAGACGCCAGGACTAAACTACAGACCTGGTTTATGTGAGCCAGGACTGAGACCAGAGGGAGACCTGAGGGAGAGACCAGAGAGAGACCAGAGAGAGACCAGAGAGAGACCAGAGAGAGACCAAGGAGAGACCAGAGAGAGACCAGGGAGAGACCAGAGAGAGACCAGGGAGAGACCAAAGAGAGACCAAGGAGAGACCAGGGAGAGACCAGAGAGAGACCAGGGAGAGACCAAAGAGAGACCAAGGAGAGACCAGAGAGAGGCCAGAGAGAGACCAGGGAGAGTCTGAACTAATCTCTGTGGTGCACACTACTCTCTTCTTCTTCTCTAAATACATGTACCTGTGCTGCAGCAGTTGTGAGCCCTGTGTTCTTTAGACCTGGTTCAGACTCTGCGGTCTCAGCACAGACCAGAGGATTGTCCAGGACTCAGCAGCTCCTGACCTCCTCATCCTCACCCTCCATTTGGTGGGACAAAGCTGCAGACAGAGGCGCTCCTGTCTGCCTCCAAAAGGAAGAGGAGAGCAGGAGATAAGCAGCTGAAGCACAAAGAGAGAAACCTCCTCTCGGACGTCTTAAGTGGGGCCATTGTCTTGTCTTTTTCGCTGCGACCTTTTGGAGCGTAACGTGAGAAGAGGCGCTGGTTAGAAGATAACAACTGTCTCCTGCAGGAAAGAGAATCCCACCAGCGATAAGAGCACGGGACTCTCTGAGCATCAAGACCGAGGCTGGAGACCGAGACTGAGACCGAGGCCTGAGACCGAGACCTGAGACTGAGGTTGGAGACCGAGGCCTGAGACCGAGACCTGAGACCAAGACTGAGGCCTGAGACCGAGACCTGAGACCGAGCCCAGAGACCGAGGCCTGAGACCGAGACCTGAGACCGAGACCTGAGACTGAAGCTGGAGACCGAGGCCTGAGACCGAGACCTGAGACCGAGACCTGAGACCAAGGCCTTAGACTGAGGCCTGAGACTGAGGCTGGAGACCCAGGACTGAGGCTGTAGATCCAGGACTGAGGCTGAGGCCTGAGACTGAGGCTGGAGACCCAGGACTGAGGCTGTAGATCCAGGACTGAGGCTGTAGATCCAGGACTGAGGCTGTAGACCCAGGACTGAGGCTGTAGATCCAGGACTGAGGCTGTAGATCCAGGACTGAGGCTGTAGACCCAGGACTGAGGCTGTAGATCCAGGACTGAGGCTGTAGATCCAGGACTGAGGCTGTAGACCCAGGACTGAGGCTGTAGATCCAGGACTGAGGCTGTAGATCCAGGACTGAGGCTGTAGACCCAGGACTGAGGCTGTAGACCCAGGACTGAGGCTGTAGACCCAGGACTGAGGCTGTAGACCCAGGACTGAGGCTGTAGACCCAGGACTGAGGCTGTAGACCCAGGACTGAGGCTGTAGACCCAGGACTGAGGCTGTAGACCCAGGACTGAGGCTGGCTGAGGAGGTTGAGGCTGGGGCAGGAGACAGTGGAACCGCAGGTTATAACAGGAACTCCTCTTCTGTCCCCAAACAGAAGTGAATCGATGAAGGATGAGTGAGATCACTGCCCCCTGGTGGCCAGAGTGTAGTCCTGCGAAAGCACAGTCTACAGGAGTCTGAAGGAATCAAACAATACCGCTCTGACTCTGACACTGACACTGACTCTGACACTGACTCTGACACTGACTCTGACACTGACACTGACTCTGACTCTGACACTGACTCTGACTCTGACACTGACTCTGACACTGACACTGACACTGACACTGACTCTGACACTGACTCTGACACAGACACTGACTCTGACACTGACTCTGACTCTGACACTGACTCTGACTCTGACACTGACTCTGACACTGACACTGACTCTGACACTGACTCTGACACTGACACTGACTCTGACACTGACTCTGACTCTGACACTGACTCTGACACTGACTCTGACTCTGACTCTGACACTGACACTGACACTGACTCTGACACTGACTCTGACACAGACACTGACTCTGACTCTGACTCTGACACAGACACTGACTCTGACACTGACTCTGACTCTGACACTGACTCTGACACTGACTCTGACTCTGACTCTGACACTGACACTGACACTGACTCTGACACTGACTCTGACACTGACACTGACACTGACTCTGACACTGACTCTGACACTGACTCTGACTCTGACTCTGACACTGACTCTGACACTGACACTGACACTGACACTGACTCTGACTCTGACACTGACTCTGACTCTGACACTGACTCTGACACTGACACTGACACTGACTCTGACACTGACTCTGACGCTGACACTGACTCTGACACAGACACTGACTCTGACACTGACTCTGACACTGACTCTGACTCTGACACTGACTCTGACACTGACACTGACTCTGACACTGACTCTGACACTGACTCTGACTCTGACACTGACACTGACACTGACTCTGACGCTGACTCTGACGCTGACACTGACTCTGACACTGACACTGACTCTGACTCTGACACTGACACTGACACTGACTCTGACACTGACTCTGACACTGACTCTGACTCTGACACTGACTCTGACACTGACTCTGACACTGACTCTGACACTGACACTGACTCTGACACTGACACTGACTCTGACTCTGACTCTGACACTGACTTTGACACTGACTCTGACACTGACTCTGACTCTGACTCTGACTCTGACTCTGACACTGACACTGACACTGACTCTGACACTGACTCTGACACTGACTCTGACTCTGACACTGACTCTGACACTGACTCTGACACTGACACTGACTCTGACACTGACACAGACACTGACACTGACACTGACTCTGACACTGACTCTGACTCTGACTCTGACTCTGACACTGACTCTGACACTGACTCTGACTCTGACACTGACACTGACTCTGACACTGACTCTGACACTGACACTGACTCTGACACTGACTCTGACACTGACTCTGACACTGACTCTGACACTGACACTGACTCTGACACTGACTCTGACGCTGACACTGACTCTGACACTGACACTGACACTGACTCTGACTCTGACACTGACTCTGACACTGACTCTGACACTGACTCTGACTCTGACTCTGACACTGACACTGACACTGACTCTGACACTGACTCTGACACTGACTCTGACTCTGACTCTGACTCTGACTCTGACACTGACACTGACACTGACTCTGACACTGACTCTGACACTGACTCTGACTCTGACACTGACACTGAGACTGACACTGACTCTGACACTGACACTGACTCTGACACTGACTCTGACACTGACACTGACATTGACTCTGACACTGACACTGACACTGACTCTGACACTGACTCTGACACTGACTCTGACTCTGACACTGACACTGAGACTGACACTGACTCTGACACTGACACTGACTCTGACACTGACACTGACTCTGACACTGACTCTGACACTGACACTGACACTGACTCTGACACTGAGACTGACACTGACTCTGACACTGACACTGACTCTGACACTGACTCTGACACTGACACTGACATTGACTCTGACACTGACACTGACACTGACTCTGACTCTGACACTGACACTGACTCTGACACTGACTCTGACTCTGACACTGACTCTGACACTGACTCTGACACTAACTCTGACACTGACTCTGACACTGACTCTGACACTGACTCTGACACTGACACTGACACTGACACTGACACTGACTCTGACACTGACTCTGACACTGACTCTGACTCTGACTCTGACTCTGACTCTGACACTGACACTGACTCTGACACTGACTCTGACACTGACTCTGACACTGACTCTGACTCTGACACTGACACTGACTCTGACACTGACTCTGACACTGACTCTGACACTGACACTGACTCTGACACTGACTCTGACACTGACTCTGACTCTGACACTGACTCTGACACTGACTCTGACTCTGACACTGACACTGACTCTGACACTGACTCTGACGCTGACACTGACTCTGACACAGACACTGACTCTGACTCTGACTCTGACACTGACTCTGACACTGACTCTGACACTGACTCTGACTCTGACACTGACACTGACTCTGACACTGACTCTGACACTGACTCTGACTCTGACACTGACACTGACTCTGACACTGACTCTGACACTGACACTGACTCTGACACTGACTCTGACTCTGACACTGACACTGACACTGACACTGACTCTGACACTGACACTGACTCTGACACTGACTCTGACACTGACTCTGACACTGACTCTGACTCTGACACTGACACTGACACTGACTCTGACACTGACTCTGACACTGACTCTGACTCTGACACTGACACTGACTCTGACACTGACTCTGACACTGACTCTGACTCTGACACTGACACTGACTCTGACACTGACTCTGACTCTGACACTGACACTGACACTGACACTGACTCTGACACTGACACTGACACTGACACTGTAGACCCAGGACTGAGACTGAACCATAAACCGTGGCGGTGGAGAGACCAGCAGAGCCTCTTCCTGGTCAGCGCTGGTTGTTTCCATGAGTTTTGAGGATCTTTATGGTTCGTGTCCATTTCCCAAAGTCGTTATTTGCAAAAACCTTTTTCAACACAGACTTTAACAAGGCCTGACCAGTTCCACCGCCTCCTCCAGAGACCAGACCCAGACTATATTTAGACCCAACCTCCTGGGTCTACAGCCTCAGTCCTGGGTCTACGGCCTCAGTCCTGGGTCTACGGCCTCAGGCCTGGGTCTACGGCCTCAGTCCTGGGTCTACAGTCTCAGTCCTGGGTCTACAGCCTCAGTCCTGGGTCTACAGCCTCAGTCCTGGGTCTACGGCCTCAGTCCTGGGTCTACAGCCTCAGTCCTGGGTCTACGGCCTCAGTCCTGGGTCTACAGTCTCAGTCCTGGGTCTACGGCCTCAGTCCTGGGTCTACGGCCTCAGTCCTGGGTCTACAGTCTCAGTCCTGGGTCTACAGCCTCAGTCCTGGGTCTACAGCCTCAGTCCTGGGTCTACGGCCTCAGTCCTGGGTCTACAGCCTCAGTCCTGGGTCTACAGCCTCAGTCTTGGGTCTACGGCCTCAGTCCTGGGTCTACAGTCTCAGTCCTGGGTCTACGGCCTCAGTCCTGGGTCTACAGCCTCAGTCCTGGGTCTACAGCCTCAGTCCTGGGTCTACAGCCTCAGTCCTGGGTCTACGGCCTCAGTCCTGGGTCTACAGCCTCAGTCCTGGGTCTACAGCCTCAGTCCTGGGTCTACGGCCTCAGTCCTGGGTCTACAGCCTCAGTCCTGGGTCTACAGCCTCAGTCCTGGGTCTACAGTCTCAGTCCTGGGTCTACGGCCTCAGTCCTGGGTCTACAGCCTCAGTCCTGGGTCTACAGCCTCAGTCCTGGGTCTACGGCCTCAGTCCTGGGTCTACAGCCTCAGTCCTGGGTCTACAGCCTCAGTCCTGGGTCTACAGCCTCAGTCCTGGATCTACTGTACGGCTTCAGTCCTGGGTCTACAGCCTCAGTCCTGGGTCTACAGCCTCAGTCCTGGGTCTACAG